TTAGACCCCAAATTTTTCACAAAAGGGTGCGTCTTATACATGGGGAAATACAGTAATTCAAAATTCTGATTATTTTCTGGCCTAACTCCCAGCCAATCTGTTCTCTTGTGTAACTAATAAACATTATATATTGCTAATCTTTTTTTTTTACTGTAGTAAGAACACTTATGTTTATATTTATATCTACCCTCCTAATAAATTTTTAAGTGTACCACACAATACCACATTAACTGTAGGCATATACAGTCACACTTTAAGCGCTCAATAGCCCATGTAATGCACAGCACAAATATAAAACACTCCCATCCCTGCAGAAAGTTCTACTGGACGGTGCTGCTATACAATATTTGGTAGCTGTTTTTTTTCTTTTTTAAGTAAATTAGCCTAGGAAAGATAAGAACTGTATACATCCTATGCAATACCAGCTTTCCGTTTACTGAGTTAGAGAATTCTATTTGTTTCTCTAATTTCGGATAACAAGAGCTTTGGTGGCATACATTTTCCTTGCACCTGGGCCAGCAAAGTGACATACGTGAACTGCTCAAAAAATATTTGCTGAATTAATGAATTTATGAAAAGTCCAAAAGCAACTAGACCAAAACGTTTTCAAGGGCCCAGATCCGCCCCTTCCTCTGGGTGACCTTGGTCGTGACCTGCCGTCTCAAGGCCTAGGTTTGACCCCCACATTCTCTGGGGATACTGTTGGTGGGGTGAGCTAGAGGGCTCCTGGGTGGGAGGGGAGTTTCCATCCGGCCTTCCCTCCCTTGGCTCCCGACCGCTCCGCAATCACCCACACATACTCACTTGAGCAGCACGGCGCCACCCACCGCCGTGCCCAGCACAGACACCGGCACAAGATAGCGGTTCATGCCGGGTCGGAGCGGGACACAACGCGGGGACGTCCCCAGATCCGCCGCTCCAAGGAATACAAGGCCAGGTATCCACGTGGGGAAAGGAAGGAGCCACTGGGAACCACGACTTTCTGAAATAGGTGTGGCGGGGCGGGGGCGGGGCACTGGGCGAGGGGCGGGGCTTCCGGGGCGCGACCTATGGGGATGGGCTACGAGCGCCGCTACTCCTGGGAATGGTAGTTTATGGGGCCGAAGTGTGGTCATGGTCTGGAGAGCGGAGGTTGAGGGGCGGGGCCTGAGCGCCGTTCTAATGACGTCGCACTCTCTGAGCTACTAGGTGCAATGCAGTTCTGAAGTAAAACTAAGATTCCAATCATGCATCTGCCGCGTGCAGACTGAGCTTTTCTGTGTGACTTTCAAATATATCAGCCTGTTTCCTCATCTAAGAATGTGTTCACCAATAGTACCTGCCTCAAAGACTCTACAGGATAATTTGAGAATTTCGATGCTCAGAAACCAGGATCTATTAGCCTGGGATTCCCAAACTCTTGGGTCTGAGGGATGAGGGGATGGAGGCCTGGACTCCCGGGTCTGAAGGAGGAGGGGATGGGGGTTCTGACCCCTGCGTCTGGGAGAAGGGGCTGGGGATTTTGTCTCATGGATCTGAGGGAGGAAGAAGCTAGACACCAAAGACTGGTGCTGTGTGATTCCAGTTAAATGAACTTCTAGAAAAGACGTTCTAGCGAAAGAATGAAGATCAGCGGTTGCCAAAGCAAGAGGGGGTGGGGGAAGTGATTCCTGCAGAGGGAACTTTGGGGGGTTTTGGGAAATAGTCTCTATCTTCATCCTCTTGGTGGTTATATTATGACTACATACATTTGTTAAATCTCATCACAGCATTCACTTAAAAATAGTGAATTTTATTACATGTAAATTATACTGCAATAATGCTAACTAAAAAAACTTGTTGAAAAAACTTTTAAAAGTCTGTTTTTGAAATTATCTGACCACAAGTTACTAGTTTAATTTATGATTGGATCAGGTTTGTCAGCAATCAACAGATATACTTGAGAATTCTTATCAAGTGAAAAATATCTGACTCATAAATTATTTCCAAATGTCCCAAGAGGTTTTTGAATATTGGCTTGAACAATAAAGTTGATGTAATGTTTTGTCTTCTCGACATAGAATAAAATGTGTTCACTTTGGTTTTGCAGTTTTTGCAGTATGCAGCTGATTATATTTTTTTCCCTTGGAGAAGTGTGTCTTGTTTCTGTAGTGCCCTAAAAACTGTGAACCCAAAGGGAACACAGCAGCCCCGGGACCATGATCTGTGACTGGAGACTCAGCCTACAAGTGAAGGAAGACTTCCCAGAGGAGAAAAAACCTAAATATGATTTTTTTTCTTTTCTTTTTTTTTTTTAAATTGGGGAATTGGGGGATGGGAACAGTGCCGGGGAATCGGGGTGAAGGGGAACAGACAAGTTGCTGTCCTTTTGTTCTTCAGTCTAGTTGTGGAGGATGTTGCTTCACTGACCCAAGTTGGCACCATCATTGCACTCTTCTGGGGTGAGGCAGATCAGTCGTGGGCTTCTGAACAGCCGCTCACAGCAGCTGCTGGCCGCTCACGCTGGCTGCTGGCTACACACGGTACCCCATGGCAACCCACTGCAGCAGGGGCTACAGCCGACTCCGACGCTGGCAACTCTCAGTGGCCCAGCTCCAAGTTGAGCTGTTGTTCAGCATCTTAGCTGTAGAGGGCAGTGTCACTGACCCTCATGTGGGATCCAAACCGGGACCATCTGGCGTCCCAAGCCAGCTCTTAACCAACGTGCCACTCGGCCAGCCCCTAAATAGGATTTTGAAGGATGAGTAGAAGTTCTTCAAGTGGACCAAGTAGAGAGGATGGAACACAGGTGGAATGGCATATGCAAATGCTAAGAGTCAAGGCAACTTGCTTCAGACGTGACAGATGTCTGGGATAGTAGAAGGTTGGCTTGAAGAGAGAGGCAGCTGGCAAGAGATGTGGCTGAAGAGAAAATAATTTTTAAAAAAGGAATAATAAGAGCTACTATTTATTTATTGAGTATCTAGTATGTGCCAAGTATTTAATCTACACAACAAATCAAAGAATAGGTTTGCTGGTGGGGATGTAGCAAGGGTGGCTGGGTCTAGCAAGAGGCCTCTCCCCTTTCTGAGACTGTAGAAACTCAGGGCTCCTGAACCATGGAGGGGGCAAGACCTGGGAAAGGAGAAAGTGCCATGGGGACTGTGGTAAAAAACCTCAGACATGGATCTAGACAGATCTTGTTTCAAATTCCTCATCCATTTCTTCTTAGATGTGTACCTTGAGCAGAGACTTCCTTCTGGCTCCTCTTATGCACCAAAATGACAAAGAGGTGATATCCTTATTATGTCAAGAAATCTTATCAATCAATACAAAAAAAAAAGACTCACCCCCCTCTTCCCCAAAAAGGAGAAGGGAGCATAGACAAAGGGTATGATGGGCAATTTGCAAAGAAAGTCAACAAATGTATGAAACTACTCAGGCTTATTAGCAATCAAAGAAATGCTTCTTAAGATAATGACAACATAATATTTTTCACCTATCAGATTGGCAGGATCAAAATAATGATAAAACCCAGTGTTGGCAAGGATGTGGTAAAACAGGTACTTACTCATACCTTCTGATGGGAGTGTCAATTAGTACAGCCTTCCTAAAAGGCCATTCCAATACATGGAAAAATCATCCGTGCATATCTTTGACCCAGCCATTCCTCTTATAAGAATTTATGCTACTAATTGCTCATTGGGAAAGAAATATACATAGGAAAATGTTCCTCACAGCCCTGTCTCTGTCATAGCGACACACTAGAAGCAAATAAAATCAACCTCAATGTCAGTAGGAGAGGGGTCCTACTCTCTCCTAGTCCTACTCCTACATTCCTTCTATAACAATTATTTAATGAGCACCTACAAACCCCAGGCATTGTACTAGACACCAGGAATTCAGCCACAAGGCACACAGGGTGCCTGCCCTTACAGATCCCCTGACACTGACAGTAAAAGTTAGTTCATCTGTATGTGTTTCTGGAAAGACTCTGTCTATGCCTTTATCAGGCTCCAATGTTTAAGAACATCCATGAGTTTCTTTATTAAGCACCAACACGTGGTGGGGGTGGGAGTGGGGTGCGGGGAGCAAGCTGACTCTCTTTTTGTTAAGTTTATATACATGCATATTTTTACAGTGAAAAAAAAAACACTATAATATTCTTCGTGGGGTCTCTGCCAGACAGGGTGATGGGTGGTTTTATTTTTTGGTTTTTTGGTTTATCCACATTTTCTCAAATGTTTTTGAAGACTAGTTTCTTCCTTGTGCAGATGAAACCATCCATAAGACGTAGTGAAGGACAGTTGTTAAGAGTGTGGGCACAGCAATCCAAGTGTCCCTCAATGGATGAATGGATAAACAAAACATGGTATATATAGACAGTGGAATATTATTCAGCCTTAAAAAGGTGAAGGGCCGGCCGAGTGGCACGATGGTTAAGAACTGGCTTGGGACACCAGAGGGCCCCGGTTCATATCCCACATATGAGGGCCAGTGGCACTGCCCTCTACAGCTAAGATGCTGAACAATAGCTCAACCTGGAGCTGGGCTGC